AAATATTAAAACTGCACTAAGACTTTTGGGACACCCTGGGTATACGTGGAGCTCTTCAGCTCTAGTCTTCTCCATTCTTCTATAAATGCCCTGCAGAACTACAGGGGTCCTGACCTATCTTCCTCCTATTCAACCTTCCTCCCTCTCTACTTCTTCCACTCCATGGGGATAAGCTATAAAACACACATCTTACATCCAGTTGGAATTCTATATGATGCCATACATCCCAACCAGAAACAGAGGCAACTAGTAAAACACAAAAGTAGACTTGACTGAGTCTTTATTATACCACTAATCTTCACTGGGCATTATCCTTTAAAGAGACAGACACACTAAAGGAAGAACATAATCAAAGTCTACTTAAGTTTTAAGTCACTCCTGAGAAGTACTGTGTCCTGTAGGTTTTACTTCTATTAACTCCTAGAGGTTTTAAATAAGTCATTCACCCTTCATAAGTCAATAGAGACCCAAAGATTTAGAGCTAGAACCATAGAAGTCATACAATGCAACTCATCATTTTAGAGACGTGGAAACCGAGGCCCAAGGAAGCAGCATGACTTAAGGTCACATAGTAAGTGACAGAAGCAGTAAGTGAAGTTAAGACTGCTGACTCTGAAGCCTGTGCTTTACTCTACCACTACACCTAGTTGCATGCTGGGCTCGGAGTCAGGAAGACTCATCTTCACGAGTTCAAATCTAGGCTCAGACAATAGCTGTGTGACCTTGGGCAAGTCACTTTACCCTGTTTGCCTTGGTTTCCTCATCTGTAAAAAGAGCTGGAGAAGGAAATGGCAAACCACTCCAGTATCTCTACCCAGAAACCCCCAAATGGGGTCAAAAAGAATTGGACATGACTGAACAACACCAATCTGCCTCATAGGAAGAGTGATAACCACTACATTCTTGGTGAAATATTGTAAAGAGACTAATGATGCCTAAAAGCTTTGAATTTCTAAAAAGAAAGGTGTTAAATATATGCAGCATATTCCCATGATCTCTGTGTTTTCTATACTTCCTAAGAAAAACTACAATAAATCTACATAAATCTATGTCCTCAGCTTTTACTGAAAATGCTGTTTCTCTGCAGTAACATGACTTTACTTTCATTTCTCCTCTGTACCAGTCTTCTTTCCTTTCTCAGTACACTATCTTTTCCACTCAGCAATAGCACACTTTCATTCACTAAAAACTGAAGTAGGAGAGAGGAGGGAAATCTCTGTAGTTATTTAGGCTAGCTAAACTACTGGCATTTTCACCACTTTTTCCACCTACCAAGGTGGAAACTTGAAATGTCAGACTGGCCATGGTGCACTAATGTCTCTCCATCGACATTTCCTCACATCATGTGGAGACCTGAGTAGGTATTAATTGGCATCAAGTGTGTGGCTACAAATATTACTTTAATATCATTCACATATGTTCAACTAAAGTGCTTAGCTTTTCAGCATGCTTCCTCCTGACTCCATTTCACTGATTTTTGGCATTGAAAACCAACCATTTGTTTCTGTGGCCTCCCTTTCCTCTCTCCCTGTTCATTTATCTCAATGGAATAACACACAAACACTGTAAGCCCTGATGAGGGCCCTTTCTAACTTGTATTTTTTCCAAATAACAGGGTTGGGGAGACCAGTTTCATGATTGGGGGCAAAGAAAAGAAAAGAAACACTGTATACATATTCTATACAACCTGGAGCTCTAGGCCAGATGAAGAGATTCTCATCTCTAATGCAGTCCTTGAAAGTTAGTGACTTATCATAAAAAAAAAAAACTTTCAAAGTTTATTAGATAAAACCTATGACAGAAAGAAAAAGCAAATCCCCCCCAAAAAAAACTTATCTGGGTTTTTTTAATCTCTAGTTTTCTGTAGACAGAAAGTAGTGACAGAAGGTAGATGTTATGTCTGCCTCCTTGCTACCAATGAGGCTTACTGGTCAAAGACCTCATCCTCAATGTTCTAACCCCAAAGCAAAGTAAACCGTTTTTTTTTTCAAAATGTTTATGAGGTGGGGAAATGCCACACTGAGTCACCATTAAAGGAGCCAAATTCTACCCTTAGATGTATGCAGGAAAAGTACTAAAGTCAACATGAGCTGCAGACATTCATCTGAGGGTAAAATTTGGCTCAGGAATCGTGGGCTCATTTTACATAGCCCTTTGCTGTCTGACTGTTGCCTCTGTGCTCCTCTCTTCACTTAGAATTTGCTCACCAGCTTGACCATGTTTATTATTCTGAATGATAACAAGACCATGTGGCATTTCTCATACACAAAGCAGTGAGGAAAATAAACTGCCCACTCCTTTCAGTCTCTTTATGAAGCTGGGATGTGGGATGGACACACACACACACACACACACACACAAAATTACCGAGTTGGAGGGCTTTCAGAGCTCAAGTTCATAGCTGAACGGGAATCCTCTTCACAGCATTCTAAACAAGTAGTTATCTAGCCTCTACTTAAAAAGATTCTCCTATTTCTTTTGCTCAAGAGAAAATGAGAGAGGGAGGACCATTTGAGCTATTTTACTCTTTTAGAGAGATGCCCTTTGTGGGACAAACTTTGGAATGAGACATTTAAAAAAGGTTGAATATAGCTGACTCATAGAAAATATCAATTAATGATACTTTTTAAAAAAAAACTATATTTAGCACTTTTACCAGATGTATGTGTATATACACATATATGCATATTTATGAAGGCAGCTAGATAGTACAATGGGCAGAGTGCTAGACCCAGAGCCAGTCAATAAATATTTATGAAGTACTTACTATGTGCCAGGCACTATGCTACATGCTGAGTTCAGATCTGGCCTCCAATATCTGCTAGCTATGGGAACCCTGGATAAGTCACTTGATCTGTATCTGCTTCAATTTCCTTATCTGTAAGATGTGGATGATAATAGCACCTACCTCCTAGGGTTGTTGTGAGGATAAAATGAGATCATATTTGTAAAGTGCTTTGCAAACCTTAAAGTATTATATAAATGCTAGTATTATCATTATTAATATCATATGATACATAGCATGAATAGTTTCTTTTTTATGTGTGATCCTTAATTGTGTCAAATAAACCAAAAATTTCCTAATCCAGGCCTTATCTTTTTAGATAGCAAGAGTCAAGCTCTTAGAATTAATAAAGCAAAACAAAAAGGAAAGAGTGGAGAGGAGATATAACATCAGAAATTAGGTACATGGTAGTAATCTCTGGATGATCACTGCAACAGTAAACTGAAACTACAAGACTTAGCCAAAAACCATGTTATGATCTTATTTTTAAGCAAAAGCTAGAAGCACTGGTCCTATAATGGTTGAGGGAGATACCTCCAAATAGTATCCATCAGGTGAATTGACTAGGGGGTTGTCTAAATCACTGGGTAAATGTAGACAAAGTCTGAACAAGGTTTAACCTCAGGTAAGTGGTCAAATTCACAGCTTTGCCAGTGTCCACTAAATAAATCTTAATCCTTTCCTAGTCCTAGGCTTGTGCATTCATACATAGCCCTGGGTTATCAGCTACAAGGTGGGATTCAGGATAGTTTCATATATAAGGCTGACATAGGACTATAAGGATAGCTTGGTACTATGGTTTATTTTTTGGCACCTACCTGGCCGTGGTTTATAGAGCAGATTGTGATCATATAATCATAAAGCAAAAAATGATCTTAGCTATTATCTAGTCTACACCCATCTTTTTATAGAAGAGAAAACTGAGATCCAGAAAGCTTTAAGTGACTGCTCTTAAGTTCCCTAAGGTAAATCAGTGGACTGAGTCCAGCTTTGATTTTCACTACTTTAAACTTTGGCTTCTGTTTAGTTGTTTCAGTCATGTCCAACTATTCCTGACCTCTTTGGGGTTTTCTTTCCACATACTGGAGTGACTTGCCATTTTCTTCTCCAGCTCATTTTACAGATGAGTAAATTGAGGCCAAGAGGGTAAAGTGATTTGCCCAGGGTCACACAGCTAGTGTCTGAGGCCAGATTTGAACTCAGGAATATAGGTCTTCCTGACTCCAAGCCCAGCATTCTATCCACTGTGCCACCTAGCTGCCTGGAGAAAAAAAACCTTTGACTTAGACTATGGCTAAAAAGTAAATGACATATGGCCAAAGTATTGTGAGTTTCTCACAATAATCCTGACAAATATTAAAATTTACTCTCTGGAGACCTGTCACTTGGAAATTTAAAAAAAATCTTCAGATTGTCAGGTAAACTTTGCTTTCCTTTCATTCTCTTTTTCTCTATCCTAAAGCACACTAAGAATGTAAACAGCACCATGGGAGCCCCTCAAATCCATCAAAAGAAGCCATGAAGGTAAAAGAAAGGACCACTTCATCCACTTTCCCTCAGTGATCCATACTGCCACCGTCTGGAAAGTTAGACGAATTCCCAGGGTGGTCCAAAGCATCTTCTTCTAAATTCAATGATTTGATTTTCTGGCTTCTGATTTTGATGTAATCTCTTTATGATTTGTAAAGGATCTATGAGCCAAGAGTAATAGAAAATGTATAGGGATAGACAAACCAAGAAGAAAAGTAGCCAGTGACCTGACTTTCTCACAAGGACTATATTGTCTTAGATACCAATCTGCCTTCCCAACATTACCTACTTAGCAGAAGCAGAAGCTTGTCTCCAAGTTCAGCATGTATGGTTTTTTTTAGGTACAAAAGTCTGGTTCAACCAAAAGAGCCTGGAGAGAAACATCACATGGTACTCTAATTCTTTGCTAAACATATTAAAGAGAAAGCCAGCACCTAGAATACTATTTCTAAAAACAAAGACAATCCAAACACCTAGACTGCTTATGATATGAAAGGATCATTGTGGAAAGAAGGAAACATGAGAAGAGAAAAAAGAAGGCAAGAGAAGAAAGGAAGGATAAGAATAGAAGCAAAAGCTACACTTGTTTTCTCTCCAAAGATAGCATATGGAACACCAAAAAGTGCAAATTTCAGGTGACATGTCAGAACAAACAAACCTTCCTGTCTTGAAAAAATACTGATACCTGTACAATAGGGTGTCCTCCTGCAGATGCCTTCACAGCCCCTCGACTTCCTTCAGTCTCATAATGAGCTCTGTGGTGGGATTTGGGCTGCACTTCGATCCTAAGTTCATAAGGTCCTGAGTGAGATGGCAGCTGCCAATCAAGGGCAGGCAGAGACGGGCTGAAATGGAAGACAAAAGAGCATTAAATATTAACGACTAGTGTATTAACGCAAACCACAAGTATCTGAATCTATTACTTTGGGGGCCAGGATTATCAGTCCATCCTTCACCATCTTACATTAAAAATTTCCATCAATAAGGATAATGTCCTGACATAAGTAATTTAAAGGTCTTCGTAAAAAGCCAATGGCTACTTTAGGATGATATATGGGGAAAGCCTTGTCAATGCTTCAATCTCTATAAGGTTTTTAAATAAAATGGAAATATTTTCTAAATCCAGCCTTAAAGTGTTTCCTTCTCTTGATGCTAGATTTACATCAATTATTTAACCTCAAAATAAAAATCAATTCCAGAATGATATGTAGACAGTTTTAAAACCACAGAAGTACAATCTTTGGGCTGAGTAAGGAGAACTATATTCTAATCCTGATTCTATCAATAATTAGCTGAATAATCTTAGATAGGTCATTTAATCTCTATGGCCTCATTTTCCTCATCTGCAAAATTAGGGTATTGAACTTTATTAAATGTTCTTAACCTGGGGTCCAAGAACTTTAAAAAAAGTGTTCAATAACTGTAGCTCAACGTAATTGGTTTCCTTTGTAATCCTGTGTATTTTATGTACTTAAAATGTTATTCTGAGAAGATATCTATAGGTTTCATCACATTGTCAAAAAAGGACATGATGCAAAAGAGGTTAAGAATTCCTGGACTAAATTGTCTCTAAGGTACCTTTCTAAATTTCTGATTCCATAGAAGGATGATTAAGAATGAAAAACAACAATTTAAAGAATTTTTTAATTGTAGTTCACAAATCAGGATGAGCAAGATACACATTTAGCTGTTATACACATTTAATAAGCAAATTCCTAATTCCTGTGCTACAGTATGTTTTTGTTATCTTTTTATTCAAAAAGAAAAACTACAACAAAAATTACATGCCTTTACAGACAAAAAAATTCTCTGAATATCACATTGGTATTTTTCTGTGAGACCCTCTCTGTGTAGAAGGATTAGCTATGATCTTACTGGTAACAAATGAAAAAAAGCAAAGGAGATGATGCAATCTCAACTGAATTCTCAAGTCCCTTCCTGACTCCAACACACACCAATCTTTCATCACCACATCCTACTCTCTTGAAATCTAGATCTAAAAAAGAACCAAAAGTTGAATGGAACATCAACTCTTACGTTCATCTCCCAAAAACTGAGGGTGGTGGTACCTATGAAAGTAGTTGTCATTGACACACACACTTTGGAGTTGGGACCGAGGGAGAGGTATGACTAGTATTTGGTCTGTTCCTGTCAACATTGTAGAGGTGGCAACCTTAGTATGGGGTTGCTGCCTTTTTGCAGCTAAGTTTCTATTAGTTTAATTTCCTTTCTTCCTCAAATCTCATTTTGCCTTCAAGTCTTATAAAGGGAGGTTTTTTTAAAAAAAGAGTTGCAACCTTTAAGCCCTATGTAAATATTAGCTGTTATAATAATAGGTTCTCTTGGGGCACCACCAGCACCTTACTCTGCTTCCCAGGAGTTAGACAGAACACTGAGTAAGACTGAAAATAAGTCTACACAACTGCAGAAGAAATACAATTGGCTGAGAAAGATGGTCAATCCAGTTCATACTGGTTCATAAAGACCATTCCATGAAATGCATGAACTGATACTTCTTGACATTCACAGAGCCATGAGGATTGGCCACAGGAAAACAGAACAAAATTTTTTATTCTTTTCCATTTCTGCTGCACTTTCATAACCTGGCCTTGGATATGCTACTTACAGCATCCCTTAGTTAGTTAGAATCCACTAATACAACTATGGAGCCAAAACATGAATTTGATTCCCCAAGTAGAAACAAAGAAGGAATAGCCACTTGGAAAAAATTAATTCCTCCAAACAGAAGAGTCAGTCAGTCAACAAGTATCTATTAAGCACTTACTTAAGGAGTAAGGCACTGTGCTAAGCACAAGGCATACAAAGAAAGGCAAAAATAATCTCTGTCCTCAACAAACTTATATTCTAATGAGAGAAACAGCATGTAAATAACTAGGTACCGACAAGACATATATGGCAGATGGAGATCAGTTTCAGAGGGAAAGGTGTTTGGGCTGAGAGAATTAGGACAAGCCTCCTGAAGAAGGCTGTATTTGAGCTATCTTGAAGGAAGGAAGGAAAACTGAGAGATGGATGGAGGCGAGGATCAGCCTGTGAGTGCATAAGTCAAGAACCAGAAGATGTGGTATCGTGAGGAACAGTGAGAAGACCAGTGTAGGTGGATGACAGAGTACATAGGGGAGAGAAGAATATAAGAAACCTTGGAAGGAAGAACAGGGTCATGTTGTGAAGGGCTTCAAATGCCAAACATAACATTTTGTATTTTATTCTAAAGGCAATAAGGAGCCAACTGGAGGTTGAATATAGGTAGGGGGTTAGGGAGAGGGGAGTAATATGGTCAGACCTGTGCTTTAGGAACATCAACTTTGGCTACTAAGTGAAGGATGGATCTGTATGGAGAGAGCCTTGAGGCCAAGAAGCTATTTGGGATACAAAATATATCAAATCAAACAAGTATCTCACTCCACATGATGGTGCACATTGCCATCTCCATGCTCTTGATTCACACCGAATTCCTTATTGCGCTGAAGTTACTACCACACAGTTTATATTATCACTCCCCTCCTTGTAAATTTCCATGCTGTCTAGACAATAATATCCAATTGCCTTCCAATATGGCCCCAAAATATTTTTCCTGCTTTTCTTCTCACTAGTCCCCCACTATATGTATTCTATCCTATTACCTCAATACATTACATATTCTGGTGCCTCTAAGTCTTTGCTTATACTATTCCCTCTGTCATAAATGTCCTCCTTTCCTCTTTACCTAAATCTACTGGTCAAAACCCTACTTTACCCATCCCTCAAGGTCCAGTACAAATACCACATCCTTCATGAAGCTTCCCCTGAGCCCCCTCAACTATATACAAAACCTCCTCTTCTAAAACCCCATAACACTTTTCACACCTATGATGTAGCATGTTTTACCTTATACTAGAATTACTCCCTCTACCATTTGAATTTTCTCCTTTAGGGCAGAAATTGTGACTTAGTCATCTTCATATCTCTCTACTACCTAAAACAATGACTAGCATACAGCTGACACTTTATATATTCATCTGTTTGAATGGAATCAAATTGCATTGAATTCTAATTACTTCACTCTGGTTTTGTTTCACTGAATACATTGTAAACTCCTTGAGGTCGGGTTCTATGTCTTATACTTTATGTACATCCCCACAATATTTAATATCTAATACCATTCTGAGGACATAGTAGGCACTCGATAAGTAGCTATAGAGACAAGTAGACTAGTAGGAGAAGGAAATGGCAAACCACTCCAGTATCCTTGCCAAGGAAAGCCCAAATGGGGTCATAAAGAGTTGAACACAATTGAAAAATGACCGAACAACATCAAAATCTGTATGTCTGAAAAATTGTGTTTAAAACAAGGATTTGGATCAAAACAAACTTTAAGCATTAAAAAAGGACACCAACTTATTTAACTCTGAATCAAACCTAAATAATACCTTTTTACTAAGTAGTAAATAGCACCAAAAGTTGTTTGTTGCTGCTGTTGTTTAAAGGAAAAAAATTGTTCAAACTAAAATCAAACCTAAATATTTTCAAAAACAACCGAACACCCAACTATTCTTTTAACCTACCTGACATATCATTCACTTCCCATCTCTGGTGTATTTGAATTTATATAAATTGAATCCTGTTTTAAATGCACTAAGGAAGTTCCACAAAGTAAAGTTAACCTGAAAGTTAACACCTTTACAAATCTGGAGTCTCATTTACAGTACAGAGATTCCTTAGAGCACAGCACACCTGTGTGGCCATGAAAGCTTATTTTAAGGAATGGATGCTATTTCTCCAACAAGCTATTTCCATGGCACTCTTGCACTGAATCCTGGAAAAGACTACAGAAATGGTGGGTTTCATAGACTGTATTCATTCAGAATATTTGAAAAAATGAATAGAGTCTGGAGGTAATTCCTAAACTTGGGGCATCCATTTGACACACTTGTCGATGCAATTACACTACAAAGATTCTTTTAGGAAAATCAGCACTATGCCTAGGAGCTAAGGAGTTCTCTATACCATGTACTAACAAATATATAAAATATGTAAAAACAAAACACCAGGCAAGCAATCGTTTGCTATTATGTAGCCCAAAAAGCTGGTTGGCTAATTGGATTTTTCCACTTTTAATCTGGCCATTTGGGGCTTGTAGAAACACAGCTTGAGCATCTTTTGCTATAATTACTGAGGTATAAAGTTTGTTCTTCACAATCTTAGAATGAAATAAAAGGATCAGGATGATCAGACTCTGTCTGGCAAATCACAGGATTATGAGGTTTGGGTACAAAAGAAGTCATATATTCAGAATATATACACATATTTGTATAGCCAAGATTATGAAATCCTAATGTGGGTGTCTGCCAAATCTGATTGAAGTCAGCCCTCGGAAATCAAGAGTGAGCTTCATTTTATAAAAGAAAAGTACTTATGGGTTTTTTTTCCTTTGGGTTGAGTGTGTTTTTTAAACAGATGTTTTCCTTTTATTCCTGGATCTAGTCTTCTCTACTCTAAATAAAATAGTATCAGATTAAAATGCTTTCATACCAATAACCCAGCTGTGCACTCTTTGCTTTTAACTGTGACTTACTGATTTCTAAGGGAACATCCTCATGCTAAACAACTAAAGGATCAAGCTTATTAGTGAAATAAAATGCTTTAATTTACACTTGGTCATTAGGAACTATGTTTTTTCATCAAAAACAAAAAATAGGACTAACAGATTATCTCATCTCGTTTTTAAATTTTTAGGTAAAATCTACACAAAGGCCACCATCCAGATAAACGAGGCAATTACCTAGCTGGGTTTTTTTAGCTGTGTAAACACAACTTAAGTAAACAATTTAAAAGTATATTACAA